GCACCTAATCCTACTGACACTGCATCGCATATCTTGGGGTGATAGAACATCGGATAGGCCCATCCGATACAAATATCTTGGCAGTGCCAGGCATGATTCCAGTGATGCAGCAGTTTTGTAGGAGGTTTTGGGTAGTTGGAGGTAAATTCAGACAGTTGAAAGCAAGAACACCCATCAAATGCAATTTACCAGCTTTTTTGTTGCCCAATGGGTTGAACCAGTCTATGAACAAGTTCATGGCTAGGTGGAGGGCAGGAGGATCATCTGGAGAGCTGGCCAGAAGCCATTTGAGACTTTTCCAAGCAGGGGTTTGTTGGATGTCCTCTACAAACTCAGAAGATTTATGATGGACCACAAGTGCCCAGGAGTCTAGACCTTTCTCAGTTTCATTTTTGTTCAGGAACCACATCACCCAGGAGAGCATGCTTTGCATTATGTAGGTGGTTTGGGGGACTTGAACAGCAATAAGGAGTTTGGTTGAATTGAGGCAATAAGGCTTCAAGTGAAAGGCACCTTTGTCACTGATGCCTTGAAAGCTGGTTTTGGATCTAAAGAGTGGTTTGTCACATTGGTTGGTGCCTTTGACTGCCTTGAAGGTACAATTGGAAGGTATGTTGGTGGTTTGATAGAGACAAAAGCAAGCAGGGCACACTATTGTCTTGACAAGGTTGGTGGTGTTGCAGAGTTTTTTGATGTCTGTCTGAACATCTTTAGCAAACATCTTTGAGTTGAAATATTTTGCTGGAATGAGTTGGGCAGCTTGAACTATCTGCAAGATGAATAGGCAAGCCATCTTGCAGTTTTCATGGCTCACTTTGCAGTACAGGTGGAGCCAAGCAAGGAAGACAGAAACATGATCTGTGGTGATAGAGTCAAATTGATTAGTTTGTGGATCCGTAGTGAAGTAGATAATAGTTTCATGTTACCTTTGACAGAGATATTGATGAAAGGCAGGCTGTTTCCCTCTTCTCCAGTTGAAAATTGCTGGAGTGAGACTGTGTGTCAATCTCTTCATCTGATTCATCTGACAGAGGTGTAAATTCAGGAGAGTTGGCCAGATCCCAATCTTTGAGTAAGTGTCTTGACTTATTCCGAGAAGATATGAGTTTTCCTCATCTTGTGTTGCCATTGGAATCAATAAATCATGGCTGGAAGCATGAAGAGCACATGCAGACAACAAGGGGTTGTGATGGCATGGCAGGGGTTGGTGTGGATGAGTGTAAGATGATTAAGGTTGAGGGATTCTTGCAAATGATAAAAGTCAAGGTAGAATTTCAGTGGTCACAGTGCATGTCCACACTACAGTGACTTGTTGTGGGTGTATGTCAGGATGCACATCAACTGTACACATCACCGCCTGAAAACCAGCAAACGTCAGGGTGACGCTGAGCCTATCAACGTCAACATTTTTGTTGTAGTGACACTGTGTCCGAGTGGTTACAGTTACATTCTGCCACTGGACCTGAAATCTAGGACATGGGAGTTTGAGACTCCTAGTGCAGGTTCAAACCGTATTGGTGTTCCTTTTTTGTTGGAGCTTGGAAGCAAAAGTTTGCGACACCAAAGGTGGTGTCGTAAAGGTTTAGGGTCCGTTTGGCAACCAACTTCAACCATGGTTTTCCGACTTCGAATTCAAGTTTGAAGTCGGGTAAATACCCGAAAACAGTGAGCTGTTTGGTAGCATAAAAAACTGGACTCTGAAGTCAAAAAACCAACTTCAGAATCCACTTTAAATCAAATTCCAGCCAACTTCAGATAATCCAGTTTTTCCGGATTCTACTGGATTCTTGAAGTTGATTCTTGGATTCTTCTCACTGTAATCTACACTCCCAGCCTCTCTCAACTTCTCTGACCAATCCACAACCAATCCACAACCACTTCACATGAACACCCT